TCCCTTAGCTGTTCATGCTCTTAAAAAGCCCTCAGTTTGCTTCCATCAGTTTGTTATATCAGTACTAGAAAGGAAAGGGCCACTGTTTAGTTTCACATTCCGTTCAGCATCACGGGTAGCGTCATATCGCACACCTGAAACATGATTGTGTGTGTTTCATGCGTGCGTGTATTTAGTGCGTAAATATTGCGGCTAGAGGTTGCTGCAATACCACACTCTTAATGAGATACTGACCGGTTTTCTTCGGACCGCGCGTCAGGTATCATCGCCGGCTTTCTTCAGCTGTATCGAGGAACAAAGTACAGCCGGTTTCCAGCCTGGCTGGATCGCTGGCTGCGCATGCGCAAACAGCTAGGCCTACTAATGTTGGCAATGGCAGGAACTCATGTAAGCAATCCCGCCTTGTCGTGCTTGTCGACTGTCCGGTTGGGGTGGCCGTGTATGTAGCTCGCGTTCACGGCCGAAACTTATCTGGCCGTGAATACGATATACGGTGAATACGTAACACAGGAACTAACGAAAGCTGTCTAACCACTCACGTGGCAGTTTGTTCTTGAGTACCTGTGCGTACCGTGGCCATGCCTTCTTTTTTCCACAGAGCTAAAACGGCTTGCATGCTCCGATGATAACTGCGTAGACAAGTTTTTGTCAGCGTGTGTACCTAGCCCCTCGGTGAGGTGCGCGTCTCCCATCTCATGCATGGTCTTCGGTACATGCGCAACGATCGTGCCACAATTTGTGCCTGCCCCTTTGCAGGGGCAAACAAAAGGTAACCACGCTTATGCGGTAAACATATTTGGAATTCATCGGTTCCGTTTGCAGGGCTGCATTTCCCTGGGCATTTACCACCCGCATCACCAATACGACTGGCTGTTTGAAGCACCAAAAACCATCCGTGCCGAGGTCGAAGTCAACAAGACCTTCTTCGAAACCCAGACTGTCAACATCTGGTTTCACCACCCGACTTGGAGGGGCGAGCTCTTCCTCACTCTTGGTCAGTTTGGGTACTGGTATCCCGTTTGCGTTCATGTATGCGTGTGACATTACAAAGCCATCATCCTCCATGACGGATTGTTCGTAGGGACGCCGACATCCATGGACGCAGTGCCCCAATGTTTCACGCCCGGCGTCACCCTGGATCCGCCTCTGCCCAGTAGGACGCAGGAATGGCTTGAGGCGTTTGGGACCGGCCGCCGGTGCTACTCTTGCGTCACCCTGGACAGAGGCGGATCCAGGCCGACGTCGGGCGTAGCACGCGGGTACCCCCACATTTACGCGGTGCCGGTGATTGAGGAGATGGCTGGCGTTGAAATGTTTCACGTCGTCCATACCACAGGAACTCCACAGGATTCTGCACATTCAGTTCACTAATTTTCGAGGATGTGTCAGGCTGTCTGTCTGTCTGCGCACATCTTTGCAGCCAGCCGCACACAGTGCACACGGTTGCGGGATGACGGCGAATTTTGCACACCCGACGACGGTTTCATTCCTCGTGACGACCCTGAATCATTAATTGTTCTCTTCCGATGCCGACAAGATCACGAGCTGTGCGTAAAGCGGCTGCAGTTTCTCCGGGTTTGAAAGGATACAGCTTAACATGAATTGGAGGGGGGGGGGGGGAGGGGGAGACGAGCAGACCACGAACCAGACGATGAGCACAGTTCGTTCCATTTCGGATGGCTCATGAAATTTCGACAAAACTGTAAATTTAAGATGATACTTTACACACTACTGAGGGTTTTTAGGAAAAAGAGCGAGCCAAGAAACAAACTATATCTCGGCTTTAGAACATTTAGAAATTATAATCCATGAATGTGTATTTTCCGAACATCATTCGTATGAGCACATACGCAGAGTATATACCACAAGATATCACACTCATAAACTCGATGGTGAAAAGATGGCATACCTGTGCAGTTATAAGGGTGCTGTTACATAGAATGCACCTGAATTAGCTCTCATTTGATTATGGCTTGGGTCCAAAAGCTCGTTTGCTCCTCGAGTCCCTTCATTTTTATAGCAAAAATACAACTATCCGTAAGCTAGTGATTTCAAAACCACATTGCAGCTGAACATGTTTCGAAATCGCGAGCGGAAACGTATTCAGAACGCTGCAGCATGAGAGCATGGCGGCGCGGCGGCCGAGGAGTGGCGCCATCCGACCGACAGCGCGACCCCGGACGCGGCTGGTGACGTCTCAGCGACGAGACGGCACGTCCGGTCTGTCCGCACCACCGCCGCTGACACTCCCGTCACTGCGCAGCTGGCCTCAGACGCCGCCGCCGGAGCCGGCCGCCACCGCAGCCCGCGGCTTTAATAAACCAGACAAGCCGTTCTGTTATTTTCATGCATGGTCCCTCTGGGTCAAACGGGATGCGAATGAAAGCAGATGAAAGCTTATTGGAACGTTATTCAATGCCGTGAGTACGTGTTGCAGCACAAAGCCCAAGAATGAGCAGTGTTGCACGGACAATGCAACTTGTGCAACAGCTTGTGTGACCTAAATCCCATATCAGAGGTTTGCATTGTGCAGCTTTGTGCATGCTTACGTATTTACCGCATACAGATGCTTTCAAAGCTTACTACAAGGGGCAGAGGGTATCGTCTGTCTTTGATTTGATGGCTCATCTGTCCTGTAGTGGTTCGGTCTAATCGACGCTTTTTATCCGTTTGTTATCCTTGGCGCGGTCTCTCTGGGGTATTACCTGACCTGCCGTGCTCCAGGTTGTGGTTATATGAGATACTCTTTCCTCCTGTGACACGACCTGACTTGCCCCAGGACGGTAGCGCTCCATCTGGTGGTCGTCCTAGGACATTACCTCCCTCTGCCATGACCTGGCCCATACCTACCTGTGGTGCGCCGGTGCTCTGTCTGTTGGCTGTCCCGGACATTACCTCTCTGTTACATGACCTGGCCTGTGGCAGGGGCGATGCTGCCGTGCTGTTGGCTGTCCTGGACGTTACCTCTCCGATGCATGACCTGGCCTGTGGCCGGGGTAGTGCTGCCCTGCTGTTAGCTGTCCTGGACATCCCCATTCTGTGACCTGCTCTGCCCTGCCCCTCGTGCACTGGTGCTGTTCGCTGCTCGTTCCTGGGTGTCCCCCTCACTGTGACCCTGCCCTGGCCCTTCCCAGGTGCGATCGCACTCTGTCTACTGGCCGTACTGGGTGTCCCCCTCACTGTGACCTGCCCTGGCCCGTCCCAGGTGCGGTCGCACTCTGTCTGCTCGCCATTCTGGGCATTGCATCGCTGCCGTCGGTGACCGCGCGCCTCACGTGGCGCGAGTTTGCGTTCGTCCAGTCGAAGCTAGGCTGGACGGCTCTGATGGCCGCCTCCCTGCACGACGCCGTGCTGGGCTGGGAATTCATGGTCACCAGCTACAAGTGCTACATGCCCACCGGCCTACAGGTCAGCCCACATCGGAGGGCTGGGTTCCGGGACATCTGGCAGCCGACCTGGGGTGGGGGAGGGGGGAAATAGACATCCGGGTTGAGAGGGTTTGCCCGGGTGGAAAGGCCCGTTTGGAAGTTACGTAGCGCGTCTGAAAATGCAGAGATCGCGTGGGAGTGTGATATCTGGGAGCGGCAACGTCCATTGTGGAGGGGGTGGTTGGTCATGTCTGAGGGTGGCAGAAAGCGCCGTCGGTGGCGGTGTGTAACTGCAAAGGGCCCCGCAACCTGCTCGCCCACAGGTCAAGGTAAAATGCATTCTCATGTACTGGCGACGTTTACGTTGCCTTATATCACTATCAGTTTGCGGAATGGAACATAGATGTCGCTCCCGCCTGAGTCGGTTGCACGCTCGGCTTCGGAACGGTGCGATAGTGACTCCTGTGGCTTGCTGCCCTTTGGGTGGCGGAGATGCCATAGAACTACGACGGGCGTCTATGACAGCTCTTCGCGATCTCCATTAAAAGCCAGTCTGCAGAGCCGTGGGGCGTATTAGTGATGCGTGCTATCGCTGTTTTCAGTACGCCCTGTACCTGCCGATCATTTGCGTGATCGGGAAGCTGATTCAGCTGATCCCGGCTGTGAACCGTCGACTGGTGGAGATCCGCTCCGGCTGGGTCAGAAAGGCTTCATCAGAGGCCTAGCGCCGTCTACCGACCGGCTGCAAATCTGTCCACTCAGCTGTCCACGAACCGTCCACAAAGCCGAGGTCGACCGCTTGTTCATCGGTCCACAAGCCTTCCACGCAGTCATCCACCGGTCCCGTTAAGGGCTTAGTGTCACCTGCTGTCCATCGGCCATCTACAAAATACCCATCATCCAGCGAGCCGTTCATCCAGACGTTCACAAGTCTGTCACAGAGACCGAGTCAACACGACTGCCACCATACCATCAACTCCCGCGCATCAACTCCGCCAAGGTTGCTCCTTCCACACACAAGTAAAATCATTTCAAACTGGACGTCGTGTCCTTGCAAATTACAAACAGGCTTTCGGCGTGCCCGACAATCACGCGTGAGACAGACGCGGACAGCATGGACTCCACATGTTCATATTGTCGTAATGAAGGCAAAACTGTTTGTGTGACACTTTGACACGGCAAGTGTTTTGTGGGATAGGAGAACAAAACAAGCAAACAAAACTGATTCAGCTGAATGCACGGAGCTGAGTTGGTGAAGTGGAAAGCTTGTGGTTTTGGGTCAAACAAATATATTCGGTGTATTTCTATTTTTTTATTTCTCGTATCATTTTTCGATGATTTTCGTATTTCTCGATGATTTTGCCCAAACTCAGTGATATGAAGTGAAGATTTGAGCCAGTGGTGGCAATAACATTTGCATCTATTTCATTTCTTTTACATTTATTTCATTTGCATCTATTTCGTTTGACACACTGCGTTGCTGAGTGAGTGGAAAGTTCCGCCGGTACCTCCGAGGATTAAGCCAATCCCTTTGATGATTGGTAAAGCGGAAAGCTTGTGTTTTTGGCTCAAGCACATACATTCGGTGAGAACTTGCATCCTCTCGATGATTTTGCCCAAACTCAGGTGATCCAATTTGAAGAGTTGAACCAGTGGTGGTAATTACATTTGCATCGATTTCATTTCGTCTGACACGCTGCGTTGCTGGGTAAGTGGGCAGTTCCGCCGGCGCCTCCGAGGATTGAGCCAATCCCTTTGGACGATTCAAGGAAGTCTGAATCATTTGTAGTTTGCGGTGTTCGGCATCACATGCCGTGTGCCGCAAGGTGCATAGTGTACCATGCTGGAAGGGGTGAAAGGAATACGAGTGTCTGAAGAGCTGATGATGACCCGAAACTAACTGACGGAGTGATTCATCAATTCAAATACGACTGTGAGCTATGCATGATGTATTTCCTATAATAATCACGAATACACAGTACTAGGCTTTCAACACGTCTCTTGATGCCTGTCCCCGTCGTAGGTCTGGCTGTAGGCCTGGTTGTTCCAGACGGATGGCGTCATGCATCACCATGACGCCCACACAGCAGTCATTGAGCCACATCGCTCGACATCTCGACTCTTACATTAAAAGAGCTGAAATAACTCGCCGCGGGTGGTAATGTGCTGCATTATTCGCGCAATTCGCGTGCAATTGTGGAGCCATTAGCAGCCCCTAGAGCGAGAGGTCCGAAGCCAGCAAGCAAGACACACACAGGACACGGCGGTTCAGGTCTGAACAGGCGGAGCCACAGATGTTCTCTATGCAGCATAAAGGCAATGAATCTGGAAAGTTCCACCCCACAAGAAGCCATTACGATCGCATTGCAAAATTCCGCTGGGCTGATTCGAACTGGCCACGTTAGCGATCGCTTGGCGCGCCCTCGTGGTGCTGATGGTGCTAGATCTTCAGCGTTATCGGTCTTTAATAGCTTCGTACCATCAGGAAATGCTGAAAGAAGACAGCGCTGTATAGAAGTCATGCTGACCGGTAAAACCATAACATGACCGGTCGCGAAGGAGATCAATATCCCTGCATAACAGTCTTGGTGCGCGCATTCGCTGTTGTCGACATACATCCGCACCGAAAAACGGTGACCGGTGCGGCAACAAACTCATTCCAGGCTTGTGATGGTACCGTGGACAGTAACTCAGCGCCAATCTCTCAATCTGATCATTATGCTATGCCCACTGGATCGTGTCAAGCTTTAGTTCCCCCGCGTTCTGTTTTGCATCGCCCCAATGTCTTCTCTTCCCAGATAACGATGCACGTTTATATCTCTGCTTTTCCCCATCCATCAATCATCGCTGACATTGCGCAGCCCCGCTCCGCTGTCACCGCCCTCCTTACGGACCCGGATGCCCTCTATGCGACACGTTCGAAATTCGTGCGGCACATTCGAGATCTGTGCGCACGAGATCTGTGCGGTACGTTCGAGATCGTTTCGTTGGCTGCGAGGTTCCGCAGTCACCACAGATTCGTTCGCTCCTCATGCAGACGTACTCCGTCGGTGGTGGCGCTGCGGCCATCGTTGCCGCAGAGGATGAGCGAGCCAGAGGCCAGCACGCCTGCCGGCCTGGCCTCCTTCGCGGTAGGCCTGCAGGCGCGTCATATTCCGTCGCTTTTTGAAGCCAGTTAGCCCGTTCACCATGCGCGCTTCTTCTTTTTGCTCTTGCCTCTCTTCTTCTTCCCGCCTGTCCACTTGAAGCCTCGAAAGCTTAGGAAGTCACCGGCATTGTGACTAATGTAGTACGCGTTCTCCATGGCCACTGCACTGAAGACGTCTGGTTTTGCTGAAACGCAGGGTCGTATCGCGTGTTAACACGCGTCCAGGAGACTGGTCGAATACGACGCCGCCTGGGTGCGGGTGGAGAGCAATTCAGCTCTTTGGGATCTCACAAACTAATGGGTCTAGAGAAATTTAATTCACAGGATATTTGCACCTTTAAGTGCAAAAGACAGCCCTAGACAACAAGCTTAAAATATTTGCTTGATTGCAGCGTGGAATGTTTGTGAGACGTCAGATGGGCTACCGAACTGGCCGTGAAAAATTGTCATCCGAGCGAACGGGATGACTTTTGCGGTACCTCAACTCCTCCAGAGGTGCCGTGGTAATGGGTGCAGCGTCCCCAGAACTCAAACATCATTGTGTGTGCGTGTTTTGGCTCCGTCTAGTCGTGTTCTTGTATATCAATCCGTCATTTTGTATTTTTTACTGGCATTTAGTGCTCGGTTGTGGCGTTATTATTAAGTTCTTCGATTCCAGTGACGCTGGCCAACTGCCTCTATTGCATAGCACAAACCGTGACTCGTGTTTGAAACTCGTACTGGCTGAATTGCATTAGCCGAGAGCCAGTTGAAGTATGTTGGTTCCATAAATCGTGCTCACATAAGTCAAGTATAAATATTTTGACGTCCTTTTTGTTTTGGCCTTGAATTCCGCATGACCAATAGGGTGGAAGTATTTCAGTGATGCGTCTATGGCGTCATGCATGCCTGCGTAAACTTGAAATAGTCAGAACGAAATGGTCTGCCCAACTTCGCGGGCGCCAGCTCAGAAACCAGACGGTTTTAAGTTTTAAGAAAGGGAGCGCTGTGAACTGCACCGAATGATCTTCAAAATGTCTATCTCAGTTCAAAACAACATGCAAATAAACACTCCACATAAGCTCAACGGGTCACGTTCACCATTGGTCAATCCTGCCTTGTCGAATGCAGTTCAGACGAGCTTTTTAATGCAGCTTTATCGGTGGCCCGTGCCTGCTTAGTGCGTTAGATCTCAAGGTGTCTCCAAGGCCCCATTAAAGGGCGGCGAAGTGGCCAAAAACGCCCATAGGCACAGGCTAAGCAATGGGCAGGCCTCGATTTTAATTTTGAATATTTGAAATCCAACGAGCCACCGATTGCATCGATATCTTCCTTTCATGAAAGCAGTGACTCAAATGTTTTTGATCCAGGATTGGTTTGAGAGAAAGAGGTGTTTTTAGACGCGCCGAGTGTAGTTGAATTCAGTTCATCAAGCTGGTCCTATTTCGGTGCATTCTTGCACCGAATAAAAACTCAGTCTTTTATTTTCTTTATATAGAAGCATGCCTGGGATGCAGCAAGGATTGGGGTGCCGTAGGTGTAGCGGTTAACACGTCTGCGTTGACCACTGCGCGTCTGGGCAACCAGAGGTACGGGGTTGGAACCCCCGCAGTACCCGCCCTTCCTGCCATGGTAAGAGGCAGGCGGCACCATATAGCCTCAGCCGCTGAGTGCGTCTAAAGCCCAAATGATCATACACCCACCCACACACACTCACACACACACACACACACACACACACACTCACACCCACACACCCACACCCACCCACACCCACACACCCACACCCACACACCCACCCACACACCCACACACACGCACCTAGGATTTTCATAAGGAGCGAGGGAGTTTAGAGAAACCTTGTCACGCTGCTTTTCAACGCTGTCAGTAGCCATCGAGGGGGCTACAAGAAGAAAGTGCACGCGTAAGCGGAAAGCCTTTGGCTGCGGCTGTGCATCTTACAGACAAGTGCCATTTTGACCCAAATGGAAAAACACAGATCGTGTGGGTGACATCATGCTTGTGGGCCCGGGTCTGTAACGTATTTGGGGTCAAATGGAAATTGATATTTCTATCAAGCATTTCAGACCGTCATTGATGGTTTCAGGCACAAACTTGCTTTATATTTGCCTAAATGTTTATGAATCACTCAGTTCGTCCATCCATGTTGTATTCATTTCGTGTTTTTTCCACTTACAACTGGCGCCACGATTGGTAAATATGACTTAAATATTCCGATGCGAGCCACACTTTGCGTGTGGCTTGTATGACACTAACATGTATGACACTAGCATGTATGACACCAACATGCATGGTACTAACATGTATGGCGCTAACATTTCCTCCAAAGCGGAGAGTCATCACTCTTTGGTAAACATAGATACTTGCTTTCATAAACGTGTACTTACCTCGACGCTTCTTTTTCCTTTTCTTCCTCTTTCCTTTCTTTCGTTTTTTCGCTTTCTTTTTACTAGCCGAGCCTTTCCCTGCTCTGCCAGCTGCCACTGGTCCTGTTGGAGAAGAAGCCTGCTTTGCCCTGCCAGGTTTCTTGTTCTGTTTTGGTCGCAAAGCCTTGCCTTTGGATTGCACCACAGAATTCTGCAGAGGAGTGGCACCTCAGCAGATTTAGAGCCACATCTCACATAAAGCCGTATCACAAACCATCCACGGACCAAAAAACGTAGAAAAACGGTGAATCGGGCCGATATTATTGCAAGTCTTATGAAAAATGGTCATTAAACCGATGCATGCATGAGCTTTTCGTATGTCTGGGCACCAATTTCAACCTTAACACGCGCTCGGTTGGAGGGGGGGGGGGGGTCACAATGACCACCCCGAAACTTGTCCCAGAATGGTTTCCGAACAGCGCGACGTAGCCGCGCCAAATTTTGTGCAATTTGCTATTCAAGCAAATCGTTTGACATGAAACAAATCAGATGTGTCTCGTAAGGTCGCTGACCTATGGCAGGCCAAAGTCAGGCCATGGTTTCAGCGGAGGCAATTTCTAGGGGAACCCATCAATCTGATACAACAACGGAGTGTTTGACGAAGACACGCATCTCTGAGATACTTTCCACAAATATGAATGGGCAAATTACGTTGACCTAAGGTCAGGTATGGAGGTCAGACCAAGGTCAAAACCAAACTGATTTATTTCTATAAGGCTTGTTGTATGGGATTATTTCTAGTGCTCATTTCGAATTTATTGACAGCAGAAACCGCATTATAGATCATCTAGTGACTTCTTAGAGGTCAGAAGAGGTCATTGGCCTAAGATGACCCGAGTCGACATTTTGCTTTAGGAACATACTTCCTAGCGTAATATTTGTCGCTTCTTCAAATGCAAGACTCGAAGCAGTCTCGTATGATTCTGGTCACCATGACCTTCAAAAAGTTAAACAAGGCCACTGACCTCAACTGGGCTTGTGACATTTTACTTAAAAACAGTTGCCTAGGTTCTGGGGGCGTTTTGGAGACCAACCCGGAATTTGACATTGTTTGACCTTATTTGACTTGAAGATTATGACCCCGGAGGCTCAGACTTTGACCTAAGTGAGTTCACGTACAGGTTAAGACATCCTGTAAATTTGGTGTCTCTAGCTTTCTTAGTTCCCGAGATCTCAGGGAAGGGGATCAAATAGACCCTCACTCGAGCGAAGGGTGTCTAGCCGGCCACCTGGGCGCGTATTAAAACACGCGTTTGGGTGGGGAGTTTGACCCTCCTGGAGGTTTCTTCCCGGAATGAGCTCCGAACGGCGTGGCATAGCCGTGCCAGATTTTGCAAGGTTATATACATTTAAATTTCGGGCCGTTTGGTACAAACAATTTAGATGCATCTTGTGAGGTCACTTACGCACGGTAGACCCGCGTCATACCATGGATTCAGCGAAGACCATTTCTACGCGAAACGTTCCACGTGATGCAATAACGGAAAGTTATAAGAAGCCCACAGCTTCGCAATAGCTTCTTAGGCAACACAATAATTGAGTGAACAGCTTCAACTGACCAAAGGTCAGGCATGAGGGTCGGACCTAGTTCCAACCAATCTGTTTTATTACTCTAGTGATTGCTGTGTTTGGAAGTTTTTGGTGCTCATTTCGAACTTATTGATCACAAGAATCGTATTACACATCGTCCATAGAGTTCTTAAAGGTCAGGATAGGTCACTGACCTAGCATGGCCCGGGAAACATTGTTTTAGGGACACAATGCCTACTGTAATTTTTGACACTTATCTAAATGCAAAATGCAAAGTGTCTTGTATGATTTTGGCTACCATTAATACCAAGAGGTCAAAAAAGGTGACCGACCTTCAATGAGCACCAGTGATCTTTTGCTTAAAATAGGTATCTAGGCTCTGGGGCACTTTGAGCACCAATCTCAACTATAGCCTTATTTGACCCTATTTGACCTGACAGTCATGACCTACGGGCCCCAAATTTTGACAACAGTGAGTTTACGTAAAGTTCACGAACAAGTCAGCACACTTTTGAATCTGGTGTATCCAGCTCTCCTAGTTTCTGAGATCTCAGCGGGACAGATTATCTCTCACCCGAGCGAAGGGTATTTAACCGGCCACCCGGGCGCAAGTTAATTTACAACTCTTGGTTAAGCCCTTGTTACGTGAGATCTGCTCAAATGTCCATTGTTCGTTGCAGAAAAGGGATATATTTTTTATTTGCTTTTGTAAAAGTGGATGGCAGCATGCCGGCGGAAACCAATTTTGCTCACCTTTTTTCGAGATCCCTTCGAAGTCTTTGGAGCCATCTTTTCCCTGTTATGATTTGACGTTGATGCACGAGTTCAGTCGCAAACGTGTGCACCTTATTCGGCAACTCTTTGGTAGCAATTAACGCAAGACGCAGTTCACATAACACGCTCCATTTCCAAAACACTGGGTATTACCACTAGACATCACCTTCTGCTCACTAAGGCACGCATCTCCAATTAATTTGCAAAATCCACGAAAAGTTATCTAAACTAAGCCTCAGACATTCTGCTACAGAGCTAGTGCAGGTTCAAGGCAATGCTGCGGAAGCTGCGGGCTTTGCTTGTTTCATGAAACTGATGACACGAATATAGCCAGGGCAACTTATTCTATATATGTAGAATAGAAGTATGGAGGATACCTGTGAGGAAAACCATGCGATTTACAGTCAAGCTTAGCTCGTGACTCAGAACTTGAATACACCATCGCTGCGGTTGTCCGTTCAGCATCTGTTATAAATTCAGGGAACAGTCTTACACATGCTACAAGACATCACGCGGTCACTATCTGAGATGCAATGTGGGTCCCTTTGGCAATACTCATACTAATGTGTGATTGGAAGAGCGACATGGTGGATAATTTATACGTGCCGGACACTGATCGACTCCCCAGACCGTACCACGGATGTGTCATGGGGCGCTCAGGCTGTAGGCCGAAGGGCACACATTGTCACATGCATGTGAGAACGTCGTGAGCTAAGTTTCAGTTTCAGTGGTCGGACGACAGCTCTGCTTTCTGTCTGTCTGGTCGGTTCGTTCTTGGAACAATGCAGCCGGATCATCCTCGTGCGAGAAACTCAACATTGGCGTTGAGCAGGGTCGGCTCTGGAAAAAAATTTAACTCTGCTTTGGTCATAGTACATATACATGCTGGCCTCGCAGTGCTATGATCGGCCACCCACAGATAAACACCCGGCGCTCGAAGATGAAATCACCGACGAACCATCCGTGGCTTGGAGCTGAGCGATTATTGCCTCTGCAAGCTTGTAGGGATCCGTGGTAATGCTTTTAAAATGACATCGACAGGTTTCTTCACTTTACAAACAAGCAGGCCTGAAGAAAAGCCTGACGTTGCGCTGAGCATCAACATCCACCAATAGCATGATTTTAATCTGACTCCATGGGCAAAATTTCTGTCCTGCGGTCCCTGCGCTAGCTGCATTTTTGAACCATCCTAGCTGGGCATGTTTCCGTGCTCTGTGGAAAGGAGAGCGAACAGCCGGCGGCAGGTTCGGCCTGGTCGGCCTGAGCGGTCAAGGAAAAGGTCCATCCACACAGAACAACGAAAGATAAGATGACGGACTTCTGGCACACGCAAGGCATCTTTATTTCTGCCTCCATTCGGAACATGAAGACCATCAGCTGCACGCACGACCTCTCGGCACCAGCGATCCGCGGAGTAAACGCGGCTCTTGTCTCGCTCAGTGGCACAGCTGATCTTACGAGACAACTGCGATGAGAGACGCAGTGCAGATTTGTGAGCAACAGGCTTAACGGCGAGCTTAGTGGTGCAAGCTGAGTTCACAATGAATACCGCTCTGGAGAAGACAGCTGACTGTCGAAAGGTGCGGAGACTGATTCCGGGGTGAAGACGGAGGGGAAGAGTTAAGAGTTCAGCGGAGCTAACGTCGTGCTTAGGCGATTTTTGGCACCCCTGATCTGGCTGGCCGTTTTGCGTGCGGTGTGGACGTGGTGAATACGTTCTAGCAGCCGTGAAAGCGACACTTTGAGGGGTATTTTGATGTAACGCAGTGGATATGACCCCCCTCCCCCCCCTCTCTCTCTCTCTCTCTCTCACTCTCTGGGCATGTCCTGCCAGACCAAAAATAATAGCCATGAATTTGCTCATGACCAATTTCAATTCAATGATAGTTTTCCGATTCAAATCCGAGAGAAGGATAACAGCCCGTTTCTAGCGATGTGCGGAATGAACTTCAATGTGTTACGCTGTGGATGGACTGCTGTCAGGACATTGCGATTTTTTGTAATGCTGGAAGACCGGGGTGGGCCCTCTGCAAATGTCCTTGAATACGTCTTCTAAGACTGCATGGAATTAAAAAATTGTTCTACATTGGTAAGACGTTTTGAACTGCCACAGACATTTTAATAATAATTCCCTCACAGCTATGCCCTATTCAAGGCTTCAAAGCCTTTCGTTTCTGAGCTAGGCGCGCCCAAGCTTGTGGGGACTAATTCGCACCGCCTTTTTTAAACTCACGCTGTGATGTATGGCACCATGGAAACATCACATCGATTCCCACCCTCAGTGACCAAATTGTGTTAAATTCAAGAAAAATATGACCATCAACTTATTCGTGTCTGGAGTACGTCGCATCAACGGACGGCACTAAACTTTCCACCAGCTTAAAGGTAGTGTTCCACATATGTATGGGGCTTAGAACCGAAATAACATTTTGAAGACCATGCAGTGCAGTTTGCAGCCATCCCCTTGTTAAGACTGAAAACCCGCTTTTTCTGAGCTTGACGCTCGTAAACTTTGCACACTATTTCGTGCAGACTATTTCAAGGTAACTCAGACGTGCAGAACGCAGTAGAAACGTCACGCAAACACTGCCACCTTATTGGCCATGCAGTGTTCAAGGTCGCGACAATCATGACCATTAGATTAATCGAATCTGACATATGCTAGCACGATGGGTGGCATCAACGGACATCAGTTGATCGCCATCCAACTTAGTGCTTTCAATGCAAGTTTCAATCGCAATCACGTTTTGTGGGCGACATAATACGGAAGATTGGGCAGTGGCGCAAACTGTAACGGATACAATAAGGCTGAGAGTGGAATAACTTAAAAATAGTACCATGACCGATCATGTGAATGCAAGCAAACAGTATAGCATTACGGTAAAATATACAAGAACACCGTACGACACGGACAAAATACGAGCACATAACGATATTTGGGTTCAGCGAATACGCACCACCTTCAACTCTTAGCAGGTTGAAGTACTTCAAGTGAGTCAGTCCGCTCACTACGTTGGTAATTCTGACGCAGCCAGTGGTGTAATCAATCAATGATGTAACATTTAAAAACTGGTGAAATTTTGTTAGAAACAGTAAAATTATCTAGATCAGCTTTTGGACTTAAAAACAAGTCAGTTGTTATAAGTGACTGTTTATTTACGCTAGATGTTTGCCTCAACGTTTTCAAATGTGCAGCATTCCCTTTACCGTGTTAAATGCAGGTTTCGAACGTAAACAACGCTTTGGGGTATAGATTGCAGGCATTTTGGCAGTGACGGCTGATGACGGAATTAAGGCTACAGATCGAAAAACGCAATAAAGGCGTCGTGACCGAGAACATGGATGTGAGTAAAAAAAACCACCGCTGACAGATACACAGGAGTAGCACGAAATAGGGCCAAAAACGCGCATATAATGATTTTCGCCTCAGTTTACGCGCATAGATCAACAAGCCATCTTACAGAGAGTTGAAGAATCGAAAGCGATTCAGCCCCCCCCCCCCCACAGTGGCCATTCTGACACGGTCAGACTGGCAGCTACTCTTATGTCATAAAGACGTTTCCTGACGTAATCAAACGATGACGCATCAAGGAACACATTTACTAAATAGTTAAGTTGTGTTGACTTTCTAAAATCTGTTGGGGGGGGGGGCTCCCCCGAAAAGGTTGACCTAGCCCTCCCCTAAAACCGGATTTCTTCCCGAGTTTCCCGCACTTGAATTTGCGTCTTTGATTTAAATATTTCGTAGATTGAAAATTGTCTTCCTGTGGAGGAATGTCCCTTTTTAAATTTGTCACCAGCATTGTAGTGAAAAGCTTAGAATGGGTATAATTCCCAGAAAAAAACATGCCATTAATTTCAGCAAGGGATCACTGATGACTACCGCTGTCACTGATCGTGTTGTACAAACATCGTAGCCATGATAATGCGACAAATACACTTGGCACTGTGGGGGAAAACATATGTTAACTTTTATCGGGGTCGTTCTGCTCTTTTATAAGTTGCCGCATATTACACCAAACGGTTTTTTATGTCAATCCGGGCCCGCTTTCATTTGAGAGAAATTTTATCGAACATTTGCAGACAGGCCTTAGGTATGAAGAAGTTAGCATAACAAAAACATTAGGTACCTGTAGGATAGCATTTGGTACCAAATTAGCACGATACTAATGGTGATGTGTTTAGATACCTATGACTTACTGCCTAGTACACCAAAAGTTAAGACCACCGCTCTGCATTGATTTGGCCCAGTATTCCCTCTTTTGTCATATGCATTAAGGGGACTCAGAGAACATCGGAGGGGAGGGGGGCACCTTAGCGGGCAGGCTGGATCCTTTGTAGTATTTCAACTTCTTGGGAGGTGCCGTGGCAATGGGCGCGGCAATTGCATAACCCAAATGTCGCTATGTGCGCGTGTTCTGGTCCTTCGTTCTCGTCGTGTTCTTGCGTATTGATCCTTAGTTGCTATCTTATTTGCTTGCATACTCATGCTTAGGTGCGGCGATGTGCTTATGTTATTCGATTAGCCGTCTTCTTTCCATAATCACTGGTACCGCTGTACAATTTGCCTATCTTATGTAGCATAGACGGTGGTTTGCATTTGAAACACGCACTGAATGCATAAAACTGGTGGAGAGCCCACTGAAGTTTGTTGGCTACAGATATTGTGCTCACGTACGTTAGACTCACTCACTCATGCACGCTAGATTTAACCATCAGGCTTGCGGCGGCCTTGAGCGTCGCATAGCCATTGGGGTGACAGTATTTGAGTGACGTTTCTATGGAGTCATGCGTGCCTGGGTGACCTTGAAATTGTCTGCTCGACTTCGCGGGCGTATAGCTCAGAAGTCAGAGGACTTAAGCTTAAGATGGGCGGGTCTGTAAGCTGCACCGAAGGCCTTTCAAACACTTTCAGTTCAAAACCCCATACAAATGTGAAACACTCCCGTTCATACAAAGCTGAACAATATACCTACATGTAGCAACGCCTCGAATCTTTATACTGCTTTTCAGAGAAACGATTTCTCATCGGGCATGTCGAACCGACAGCATGCACAGATCACTGTGTGTGCTAAGGCATTAGCATTACCTGCTTGCAATCATATGCATTTTTCATAGATAAGGCAAGGAAACGTAGCTTTTCAGATTAAGGCATAGAAAGTGTCCTAATGATCTCCAGATTCGCGATGCAGCTGATTTTTTCCAAGAGCTTACTCCTTCACAGTGCGGTAGTTCTGCAATGCTTTGGCTTGAACACAGGGCTCAATTTAAATTGTCCGTCTTCCTATAATTAAACTTCATAGCTGGGGGCGTGTGGTATCTGGTGTTTCAAATTTTCGCTAA